TAAAGATACAAAAGTGATATAAGATGGGGTCCTTCTTTAGTGATTCCAGCTTCACATTTGTAAGTTAATCCTTATATTTGTGTTTCAGATTTGCAGACACTCTTAGCAACCTAGAGTAGTACTATGTATAGCTTGGTCATTTGTGATTGAATTTTATGCCAGTCTTTGTGAGTTCTGTGAACACAAAAAGCATTCATTGGTCCCCAGTTCCTACTTATTTTGCTGTGCTTCATAAATCTGTTTCTTCTGTGCTATTCGTTGATGTGTGTAAGGTTTAGTTTCTGTCCATCATATCAGAGGTCCAGTCTCAAACCATGAAATGTGAAGTATTAGCTAAGAGCTTATGATGGAAAGAAGTGATGATTCTACTCAAAAGAGCCTGACAAGACCTGAGCAATACCCACCCCTTCTTCCCAAACAAAGATACCATTCCTAACTTTGTGGAATCCAAAAAGCCATCTGCTACTGATCTATTTGCTGACCAGCACAACTTTTATCTGGCTCAGAGCTTGGTGTCTTCTCCAGTTTCCTTCTCCCTGATGGACACAAATGATATTGTCTTGAGCAATCTGAGAAGTTCTTTGGAGAAAAATTCTGTTTCTCATTTGGGTAGTACATTAAGGGAATTTGGAGCATTCAAGATGTGCCACTGGGATTGAGACCAAATTCCAAGACACGCTTTTGAACGGAATCTAAAGTTAAAGTGCTTTATTGTTCTGGTTTCACATATAGAATCTCTGGTCTCTCTGCCCCATGTTGTGTGCCACCAACCGTTGAATGAAACTTTCCTCTAAATTACACTGTCAGATCCTGTATGCATGTGTCGTGATTAATGGGGTTACTGCATGTGGTTCAGCTTTTGGAACATCATTTTTCTTCAACATGATGTGATCCTTGGTGGTCTTTTCTTTCTAAAGATAGACATAAAAATTCTCTGATACTGTGGCGTCTCTTGATGATGAAACCCCTGCCTTGGATCTTCCCAGTAATTTACAGTTAAATATCTCCACCACTGCCAGTAAGTTCCTTTTGAAATGCCCCAGCTGGAGTTTCTACTTAAAGCAAGATGAGAAGGAATGAGGATGTTTTTGTTTCTTTTCTCCCCTATTCCTTTTAACCTTCACTACTTCCCATCATCTTCCTGCTCCACACCCTTTGACCCCTACTCATTACTCTCAAGTTTCATTCAGTTAAAGTTATTGAAGAAAATTGCAGCAAGATGATTGCAGTTCCACAAGCATGCTTACATTAATAGTATTTAACACTTCATTAGTGCTGATAGATAGGCAAATAGAAATACTAAGTAGCTTTCTATTTAAGCATGTATATATTATATGTGTACATACCCAGTGACTAAATGCAGATGGGGGATATGCCTATTGCAAGCCGATACCATAAAATTTTGATTGTTCAAGTTTAAGGTTGGCTAGAGATGTTATTTATTATACTCGAAAATGCTGCACACACTTGGAGTGTTTATTCTGGATTTGTTTCTGAGCATTGAAAGTGTCTGGTGCAGCTGAAGAATAGGCAAGGAGAGCCAAGTGGGAAAGCATCATGAAAAATCTTGAATCCAGGCACAAGTCATTGAAAAAAAATAAAAGTTGGACAAAAGAATGTAACTGTGGGGTGAGGTAAAACGGGAAGAATGCAGGCAAGGCCGTGTTTCAACAACAGCATATCTGGAGAACTAGAAGCAAGCTGCTTCTGGTGTGTTCCTGCACTGACTTAGGAATCAGTGCTTTGGAAAATAAGGGTGCAGATTAACCAGCAATTCCAAACGATGTAGAAATACCTTTTTGATGACCAAGCAATCCCACTTCTGGTTATATATCTGAAGAAGTGGAAAATAGGCTCTCGAAAAACCGTTGGACATTTATGTGCAATTGCAACATCATATCCGATGGTCAAGGTGTGTAGGTATCCCTTTACTCATGTCCATCAACAGAAGAATGGATAAAGCAAATGTGGCATAAATATTAATTCAGCCTTAAAAATGAAGGAAATTATCTAAATGCTGTAGTATGGGTGAGACATGAGGACATTATGTGAAGTGAAATAATCCAATCACAAAAAGACAAATACTATGTGATTCTACAAATATGCGATACCTAGAGTAATCAAATACATAAAAACAATAAGTAGAATGTTGGTTGCCAGGTGGTGAGGAGAGAGGTGAGGAATTGTTGTGCAGTGAATATATACTTTCAGTGTTACAAGATGAGAAAGGTCTAGAGATATTGTATGGCAATGTGCACCCAGTACACATCAAAACTTTTTAGAAGTAAAATCTGTTACGTGTTTTAGCACAATTTTTTAAAATACCTTTTTAAAGTCCACAATAAAAAATTCAGAAAATTTCTTAATGTCAAGATGAATAGAGCTGTTTACACAAACATCCTGCAAACTGGGCTCCAGTGGCTGGCCTGAGGTGTCTGTCAATCAAGAAGCAACTTCCTTTGCTTAATCAAACATATTCTGCAATTATTCAGGAAGACAGCTGCTCTCTACATCACCATATCCATATAGTTCTACAAGTTTTGGTTCCTTCTTCTACTTCTCTAGTAGCAGTATCCAAACCTATCACATAACACTAGAGGTGCCAAAAGGAACGAAGACAAGACAGTAAGAACTGATGGTCTCATGTGAAACTGAGTCAGCCAGGCTGTCAGTCTAGATCTGTGACAGATAATAAAAGAGTCCACTAAAACATCCTCATGTGACATGGACGACACTCCTGAAGGAGGGTCTGCTCTAGGGAGTCATGTGGCAAGCGAGTCATGTGGCAAGCGCTGTTCCTGAGGAGATCAAATTGCTTTCCAGCTGATCTTCACACTTCCCCCACAGGAAGCCTCTGGGCTTTGTTTCCAGCATCTTCAATCCCCCTTTTCCTTTCTGCCAACCCTTCGTGTCAGTTTTCTTATCTGTAATATGTGGTATTATACTTGACTTGATGCCAGGTTTACTAATGTCTTCCAATAACTGCAGAAATACCACTAACTCATCCTCGACCATTCTCAGAGGAGGTGATATTAGCCCCAAGAGGGCAAAATGCTTTCTTGTCCAGGAGAGAGGATTTTTAAAAAATCCTAGCAATATTACAGTGGTTTCCACAATCCTATCTCATAATATTTAATTTCTCTTGTTAAGGAGAATTTAATTTTTTTCCCTTAGTGAGACAATAATGAAACAAAGGTTGAGAATCATTGCTCTTGCTAGATGGTAGTGTTATTCAGCCACAACTGAAGTGAACTGGGTTCAAGCCAAGAGAATAAAAATGATCTAGGTCTCACATTTAGATTAAAAAGTCAAAATGGAGAAATAAAAGCTAATCTCCTCCTATAATATGCAAGCAGATACATAGTGCTATAATTATGTATCAGGCACACTGGGTTCAGCCTTGTTTTTAATATCCATGTGAAATCTTTGAGGAAGTATTGGTTTGTCTATGCAACATTTCTATGAATTCTAGAAACAAGTCCACAACCAAAGGCTCCATCTACAGCAGAGAAGGCTCTTGGCTTAGCACCTGTTGTTTTCCCAAAGTAACAGTTCTGAAAGGGCAAGAGCTGTGTCCTTTTCTTCTTTATGCTACCAATACCAAACTCAGTGTCTGGATGTTGATTCTATATGTGTGCTTATTTTTTTTTTCTTTTTTATTTGACAGGTAGAGCTATAGACAGTGAGAGAGAGACAGAGAGAAAGGTCTTCCTTCCGTTGGTTCACTCCCCAAATGGCCGCTACAGCTGGCACTGCGCCAATCTGAAGCCAGGAGCCAGGTGCTTCTTCCTGGTCTCCCATGCAGGTGCAGGGGCCCAAGCACTTGGGCCATCCTCCACTGCCTTCCTGGGCCACAGCAGAGAGCTGGACTGGAAGAGGGTCAACCGAGACTAGAACCCCGCACCCATGTGGGATGCCAGCACCGCAGGCGGAGGGTTAACCAAGTGAGCCATGGCACCGGCCCATGTGTGCTTATTTAAAAATGTTGAAGCGGTGGGAGTGGGTATTTGTCACTGGTACTTGGGATGCACATATTCCTTATTGGAATGCCTGGGTTTGAGTTACAGTTCTTTCCATTTCAGCTTCCCACTGTTGGGCAACTCTTGAGGGCATCAGGTCAGTTGGGTCCCTGCTACCCACATAGGAATATACCCAGATTGTGTTCCCAGCTCTTGGCTTTGGGCTATCCCATTCTTGGCTGTTGTGAGCATTGATACAGTGAACCTGCAGATGGGAGATGTCTCTCTGTTTCTCTACCTTTCAAATAAAATAAGTAATGAAATTTTTAAAACTTTAAGACAATGAACAAACTCTAATTTTAACCAGGAACAGAATGAAGGTGAGGCAGGTGAATTCCTTATAATGCCAAATTTAAGGAGATTTTTGCATGATCCTTGTGTTTTGAGCCATAGGCTCACCCTGGTCCTGACATGATTGGGAGTGTTTTGTTTGTTGTGAGAGACGGAGACAGATGACTGGGAGTTTGGAGGGGGAGAGCCCCTGGTCTGCTCATTCACACTACGTGTACTCACAACGGCTGGTGCTGTTTGCTGGGCTGTGCCAAAACCACAGGCTGGGAACTGAATTCAGTTTTCCCAAATTGGATGCCAGGAAATAGAGCACTTGAGCCGTCACTCCTGCCTCCCAGGGTCTGCAGTGGTGGAAAGCTGAAGTCAAGAGCAGGAGTCAGACATCAGACTCAGGAACGCCAATGTAAGACACAGGTATCTTAATTGGAGTCTTAACCGCTTGGGGAAAATGCCAGCTCCATGACCTGGTTTTAACAGAATTGTAGTCCAGTTCCAAGTCCTTCTCTTTTCAAAGTCTATTTAATATGGGCAATTGTCTGAAAGCGAACTGATAACAAAAATGGTAGCAACAAGGAAAAAATAAATATTTCAACATAACCCCCCATTCTACTTCTACAGGTAGGTTTCTTTCTACTTGCATGTGGCTCATATTGACTTCAGGGATCTAAATTTTTCAATTCTATCTTCTAGATCACTACAGATCTGAGGCAGCGTTGCACAGACAACCATACTGGGACATCGGCCTCGGCCCCAATGGCTGCGGGCATCATTGCACTGGCCCTGGAAGCCAAGTAAGCCTTGATCTCTATATGTCTTCACTCCAGGAAGGTTTTCCCCTTCTCCTGTGTATAGTCCCTGGCATGACAACCTAGAATATTATCTTCCCCTCCCACTTTAAAAAGTTCAAAGATTTGGGCTTTAAGAAAACTCCCTTATATTAAGAAGAAGAAGAAGAGAAGTGTTTTTGGATTTTATATGTTTATAAAAATCAAGAGTGTAATTACTTTATTATGGAGTCATAAGACAAGCATGCCAATTGGCTCCAACACTCTTGCCTTGTTGAAATTTTTAGTCTAGTCTGGGAATGTTCCCGTGTGTCTCAGAGATGTTAGGTCTGCCCACTTCTGGTCGCTTTCTCTGCAGCGCAAGGCAGCTCAGAACCCATGTCAATAGCACTGTCGTAGATTGGAGGACAGGTATGTCAAAGTCATGTGAGCTCAGGGATAAGTACAACCCACTTACCTCTAATTTTGTTCAGTTTGTTAAATTCTACAAAAGATCAGTTTGAAAGGCCCCTTAAACCATTTTTAATAGGTCCCGTCTCTTTTTTTCCCTCTAAAACAAATAGGCTAATTTGACATAACTGTTTCAACACCTAATACAGGTCTAAAATCTCTTGTCCTCAGATACAAAATCCAAAATGTCCAGAAAACTGAAGGTTCTTTTGCAAATGGGATACCCAAATGCACTTAAAGGCAAAGCTTACCCTGAACTGATCTGAGGATCACAGTCTACATGTATTCCATATATTGTGGAAATCTATGGTTCACTGCAGAAATATTCATGTATTTGATTATGAGGTATTAGCTCAGACCCTGCTGGGGGATTTTGTGTAATATGTGTTATGGACCCCATCTCTGAAAACTTGAATTCCAAACACATCCAATTCAATGATTTTAGAAAAGACGATGGGAGCCCATCCTCTAAGGCCCTCCCTGCAAGAGAATGCTAAGGAACTGCAGTAATGATGTAGTATTTTCACAAAATAGCCTCGTACCCCTTTCTAGAGAAGAATGGGAACGCTTGTCCATCTCGTTCCACCCTGAAATAAAGGTGTGACAAGGAGGGAATGCAGGACAATTAAAGAGGCTCAGTTATTACAATAAGAATGGTGCTAGCTGATCTTCAGAACACAATGACATCCCCATATGTACAGCAGGGCAGTCTTTATTAAGGCATCTGGGCCAGTAAAGTGCTAGGTCACATAAAGCCTTGGGCTCATGCAGGGAGTGGAACACAGGCTGTGGAAAGGGTACTGTGTCTGTGGGTGGCTCTTGGCGTAAGCCTTGCCATTGAGAGATACTCAAGCCCCCATGAACATTTGGATTTCTTTCTTTTCAGTGAGGTTAAATATGAAGCTGTTTTAAGCATATTTTGTATTTTAAAGTGTAAAAAGTTTGGATTTATCAAGGAATTGACCATTTCCAATTCCTCATTGGAGTTTTCTGGCAGCAGAAATCCCAGCTAAGTGTCTGTGTTTTAAATTTGGTGAAGTCTAACCAGGATTTTTGAAAAATACATGGTTTTCATTCTGTTCCCTCTTACTACAGTGTCCTAATATCACTGGATTATAGGATATACTACCCAGATGCACAGAGAACAGAAAATAAATGTGGACAATTCTAGGACATTTAGGCAATATATTATTGTACTAAAAATATTTTTATATGTAATATGTTCCAAATGAGGCTTGAACTTCTAGAGAATGAGAGGTATATCCTATGGTCTTAATTTGTGTGTGTAAGACAAATATATTGAACATTAGAAAACAAAACATTGTGGTAGGCACTAAGTGAATTGGGCAGGATATAATTTATATATTTGTAAAATATGTCACTCACCTTCAAAGGATTGTATAATCTCATTAGATATGCAGATATACACAGATAGCAGATACATGCAAATTATTTAAGAAAGTCAATGAAATGGTTTTGGGGAAAGGTTGTAAAGCATTCAGGACTTGGTTGGAAATAGAAATGATTGGCTTCAATGAGTCCAGTTGCAACAGGGTTCCATAGAACTTTGGTGTCCTCTGTGATGTCGAAGCATAATGTTTTGAACAAGGTCAATTCTCAATAAATATTAAGTTAATTCATCAAGTCCAGCAAGTACAAAGGAACAGAGTCCTAAAGAAGTGAATGGATGACTTTGTTTTGTATATTAGTTATTTTTACATTTCAGATCCTCTTGCTATTTTTTTAAAAGATTTATTTATTTATTTATTTGAAAGGCAGGGTTACAGAGAGGTAGAGCAGAAGTAGAGAGACAGAGGTCTTCCATCCATTGGTTCACTCCCCAGATGCTGGTGCTGGGCTGATCCGAAGCCAGGAGCTTCTTCCTGGTCTCCCACATGGGAACAGGGGCCCAACGACTTGGGCCATCTTCCACTGCTTTCCCGGGCACATCAGCAGGGAGCTGGGTCAGAAGTGGGGCAGCCAGGGCTCGAACTGGTGCCCATATGGAATGCTGGCACTGCAGGCAGTGGCTTTACTCTCTACACCACAGTGCCGGCCCCCTTCTTGCTATATTAATTAGTCACTTTCCACTGCTTCAACTCATCTCTGTTGACTTATTCACTGGGCTTCCTCTGGGTGACATAACATAATGCAGCTTCTGAGGGAAGGCCCTCTATCTTTTATCTTTAGTGGAAGGGCTCATGTGAGACACAGAAAGGTCAAATGTGAAAAGTTACAGAAGAGTTGAGCCAAAGGATGAGGCACCCCATGTGCTGTTGATTTTAAAAAAGTCATCTTCAACATTATTTTCTCAGAAAATTAAACAGACCATCTACGTTCTTGTAAACCTTAAACATTCCTCTGTACACATTGTATGCAGTTCTGATTGATCAGCCACTGTATGCCTTTGTCTTACTTTTCATTAAAGCGTGTTTTGCCTGAGTATATTTCCAGTGCAGGAAAAGTAGAGGAAATTGGCAAAGTATTTGGGACACAGTTATTGTGGGAACTTCGTACCTGGGGCAGCTGAGTCTTGCATTTGTAGCAAGCCAGCTCTGAATCAACATAACTCACTTGGGGGCTTCAAATTTCTGGAAGAGAGCATGATTAAGGAAAGCCACATAGGAGGATTGGATGGACATAAACATTTCTAAATATTGGAGTAAGCATGGTCCTGACATCCTGTAAACTAGTCTTATCTTCTCTGTTTCATTTTAATTAAAAACACGTTTCAGTATAAAACGTTCCATTAAGAATTTTCCCGAGGGCCACATTCAGCTGTATGAAATGCTGCAGTGGGTGGAAGCATGAATGTATTTGGTTATGGAAGTAAAATTGAGAAGACCTTCCAGCTCTTTCCTTTCAGGAGAGGTGTATTTATTTCAGTTGGAACTTAGAAAGCACATGCGCAAACAGGAAGAAATGCAGGCCTGTGTGTCCCAGCCCTGTGCACAGGAGTAAGCAGCAGGTATCACGCATGCCTGCCTTGGACATGCTCTCCGTGTCTTGTGGATTGGAATCCTGTTTGGGCTTAGGATGTAGCTAAGATTTCTGGCATGAACACAGCGTGAGGAGAGTGAGGAGAATTAAAAGGTAATCAGAGAGAACTGAAAAGATTTGTGAGGTAAAAACAGCACGAATTTCCACTTGGGGCCGAGCGGACAGAAAAGGGATGTACTGTCCTGGATAACTCCCTATAGTGAAATAATTGTAACCAGACCCACAGAGCAGTTACCACGGGCCTGCTGCCAGGACTGCGCATGAAAATAGCTTTGTTATGTCTACGTACACTCAGACAATACACTCTGTCCTCTAGCACTTCTCAAGTTCAAATTATGTAGAAGCCAATTTTCTCCGGACTCAACTTTGTACCTTACCTAATGATTTCAAACAGTACAGCTTCCAAAGATGGCCATTATAACTGGAAAATCCCTGGTCAATGGGCTCATTCACCTTGTATTATCTTGGGAGTTAGCCAGTGTTTTCCATTGCTTTCCCTGGATGAGGAAACTAAGAAACATGTGGGTTAGTTCAGTTGTTCAGAGACTGAACTGAGGACAGAAAAGTTCGTAGGGGACTGTTACCTGCCTCTTTTTGCTTAGTTGTAATTTTTCAAAATGTTGCCCACTGAAAGCATGTTATTCTTATTGTGTAATAGTGAAGTTTCTTTTTTCTTTTAAAGAAGAATAGTTCTTAGCCTTTTTTCAATCCCCAAACTTTTCCTTCTATACCTGGTGAAATATTTTCAAGTGTTAAATGTTAGAAATATCTCATTGTGGGGCCAGCGCCGTGGCTTACTTGGTTAATCCTCCCCCTGCAGCGCCAGCATCCCATATGGGTGCCGGGTTCTAGTCTGGTTGCTCCTCTTCCAGTCCAGCTCTCTGCAGTGACCCAGGAAGGCAGTGGAGGATGGCCCAAGTGCTTGGGCCCCTGTACCTGCATGGGAGACCAGGAGGAAGCACCTGGATCCTGGCTTCAGGTCGCCGTAGCTCCAGTCGTAGCAGCCATTTGGGGGTGAACCAACAGAAGGAAGACCTTTCTCTCTGTTTTTCTCTCTCACTGTCTAACTCTATCTGTCAAATAAAAACAAAATCTCATCATATTATCTAAATTTCCTGGGATCAAGTCATGTAAACCTTTTGAAACAAATTCAGAGGTTCAGGAGAAATTAGGGGAGCCTAGCTATGGCACTGGGAATGGGGATGGAGAAAAGTGAGTAGATTTGATGTGCATTTTGCAGGTACAACCAGGGAATGAATTAGATGTGTACCTTGGAGAAAAGGAAGAAAATCAGGTCTGAGGTTTAGTTTCTTTGCTGAACTTTAGTGGAATTCTATAAATTTACCATTCTAGATACCTTTCATTCTTCCCATGGGATTCTGAGAATTAGCACAAGCATGAAAACCTTACGATGATCCCTGGGCCTACAGGTCCTGAAACTAAGCCTGTAGCAGATTTTTCCTGAAGTTAATGGTGGTGCTTTGGTACACCAGCTAGTTAGTGAAGCTTCAGGAGCTGCTTATCACATGTTGTGAACATTACAAATGACTTGAGAA